CACTGTTCAAACCGCCATCAGCCGGTATGACAATGAAACCGCGGCAACTATTGATGCCGTAATTCATTATGGTGGTCATAAAGTTTTGAATGGTGGTGATCGTTTCGATGTCGATCGTGGTCGAGCTGGCAATTGAAGTGATGAATTCAATGTACGCTTGCATCACATCAATTTGATGCTGGTCTGTCAGGTTTTGCATTTGATCTATTAATGACTTGATTTTCTCGATCAAATCATCGCGAACGCCGCTGATTATGGTGGTGTTCTGCACGGTTTCATAGTTGCATGCGTCCAGTTGCTGTTGTATAATCAAGAGTTGATTCTGTAGTTCGGTTATTTGAACAGTGTATTGTTCTACGACGATGGCATTTTCATGCTGCATCTGATCGAACGCATCTTGTGTTTGTTGCCATTGCGCTTGACACATTTGAAGGTTCACATTCAGATCATTGTTCTGCGTTGTGATCACATTTATGCGAGTTTCGTAGTTGTTTATGGTGGTCTGTTGATTCTTTATTATGGTGGTTTGTTGATCTATTTTCACATCTTTTTCGCTTTGAATTCGAACGTAGTCGTTAATTTTTTGGCTACACGTTTGCAAATCCGAGCTGCAGCTTCCTTGCAGACTTCGACACGTCTCCGTGTCACGATCGCTTCGAGCCAGATCGTTCTGCGCCGATTCCAGATCACGTTTGAGTTTGTCAATTTGCTGTTGTTGNTTCTCTTGTCGCGTTCATCTTGAAGTTGACTACTCGCTGATGAATACCGACTTTCAGCTGATCTTCTAGCCTCCCGTTCGCTATTAAGTTGGTCGTTGAGTGAGTCCACCTGATGCTCGGCATTCGCTCGAGCATTCTTCTCGGTGTTTAGTTGCCCCGTTATTGTTATCACATCATTTTCTTTGGTTATTCGGAGAGTTCTTTCAGTTTCGTATTTTTTAGACATTTCTTTGAACTTATTCTCGAAGTCGTTTCTGTCCCGCTTGACACTGTCACATTGACCCTGCAGCTGGTCCTTGTCTGCTTGACAGTTCTCTATCTTGATATTCAATTCGGTCACAAGACTTTGTTGCTTTTGCAGCTCAATTTTAATCGTGCTCACTGAAGTTTTCAGTGTGGTGACCTGGTTATAGGCGTCATCTCTTTCGGTGGTCACTTGACTCAGTTGACTCTTCAAGTTGTTCACTTGTTGACTGCATTGCCAGGATTGTGACTGTGCGTCCTGAAGTTGGTGTTCGGCGTTCGAAGCACGAGTTTCAGCCGCTTGAGCGCGATTAATCTCGGCTGAACAATCCGGCTGCGGTACAATTGGATTGTCACATCCACCTGGATAACCACAGTTACCATTATCGAAGGGATTTGGCCATGGCCCTATTGGCACGATAGGATTTGGGAATGGAAGACCAGGAGGCAAGGGCATGGGACCGATGACTTGAGGAAGCATGAAGCCACCACCATTAATGATGATTTCGCCGCTGCCGC